GGGGGGGGGGGGGGAGGGGGAGGAGGGATAACCTCTACAATTCTTGTCTTATTATCAGGATTTAAATGAAAAAAGACATAATAAACTTTGTTACCTCAACTCTTAGGTTATAAATATGTAGATGATGAGTGAAGGTTAAATTTTTTATGAAATGGTCTATTGACATTTACTTTAACACAAAAAAATTGAAAATTAGTGGCCTATATATTTAATATGAAATTAATAAGAGGGAATGAATTGATATGAGTTCACATAATTCAGAATTCATCCAAAAAAACAAAACAAAGAGAAATATATTATTTTATTCACATACTTAAACAAGAAATCAAGATAAATAAAATTATAATAAGTAGCAAATAAATAATTATAATAAGTTTCAACTAGAGAAAGAAAGACAACTAAATGAGAATAAGGTGAATAACCAGAAAGAATGAATCATGAACAAGAAATAGAGATCGTTGATGACAAAAGAAGAAGAAGAGAAAAACAAAAAGAAATAAAATAGAAAAACATAAATAAATGGATTTTTTTTAAAAGCCCTCTTTTTAATGATATTAATGTGCGAAAAATACGTTGACTCCTCAATTTGGGTAATTAAGTTCTACTTTGTATTTTGAGCTTGTTTACAAGTTGGTTTAACTATTTGTGGCTTGGAACGATCTGTTCAATCATTTTGAATTTTAGATTTTTTTTCTATTTGTAATTTTTGTAGGTTTGTTTGATATTTTATAATTTGCTGGTATGAGTGATATGAGTTTCGATGAGCTCGGGCACATTTTGGAACACTTAAAAATCAAAACTAGTAATTTAACAGAACAATAGTTTATTGAGGTCGTATATGTTATAAAATGAATTCGAATTCGTGATTTAAAAGTTTTTACAAATTTATATGATAATTTTAGATTTGTACGTATATTTGATTTGTAACTAGAGGGGCTTAGATGAGTTCTAGAGATTAATTTCTATCAAGATTCAAAAAATTGGGGAAGTGATAACACATATTCAATCCACCAATATATAAGATGAACAAAATATATAAAAGCATAATGAAAAATCAAATATACAGAAATAATACTTAAAATAAAAATAAGTCATAAATAAACATTTTTTTCTAATAAAACAAAGACGAAAATGCATAAATAGATACAAGGCTCCCCTAAAGTTGATTTCACTAGTACAATCCTCTATAAATCTAAAAATACAGCCTCAAACTTTACAATATCTAAAAAAGAAAACAACATAATGTAACGATCCTTTTAGTCATTATGAGCAAACTATTTGTAAAAGAAATCAGACGAGAAAACTTCCGGGTTAAATAGTTGAAATTTTTAGGCTAAGCTTAACTGAGTAGTTAAACCTATTTTTAATTGCATAATACCTTGTAAATTATCGAAAGATTGCATGTATAGGCCTTCAACATAGAGTCTGGGCGGACGAACGTGTGTTTAGGATGGTAAGGTATTTGATTGTTGATGTTGAACTTATGATTGTTGCTAGGTGTTATCCTAGGGGTGGTAATTTGTGGGTAATGGGAAAACTGTCTGGAAGAATCATTTGGAGTGGGTGATGGTGGTTTTGTTTCCTTGTTTATGTTTTTGGCCAAAAACATCCCTTAACTATACTCTATATTTAAACCACATCCTTGCACTATCACAATGAACGAAAAACATCCCTCAATTATCTTAAAAATGGCAAGATTCATCCTTCAATTAGTTTTTGTTAAAAAACTAACGATTGATCAATCCAGAAACCCCCCATTTTGTTTGCTCACATTCTTCTCTTAGCTTATAATTAGTAATAGACAATCCTAACCAAATTGAATGAGCTAGAAAGAGAGGTTTTCATCCTCAACTTCACAATAGCAACCACGATGTTCCCGTAAAAAGTGAGTAAAATATTTCGAGTAAATTATTTTTCGCCCTATATAATTATTGATCAGATACGCAACATAATATTGTAAGAAAAAAATGTATAATTTTCTCTTTGTTTCCTAGACAAATGAGGAAATTTGAAGTGTGAAGGTAGTCTATTTTTATTTTATTTTTTGTGTAAATTTGATAAACACTAAGGACTGTATTTTTAAAAATATAAAAGTAACATATTTAGATATTACATAAAAAAATACTCTTTTTGTTCCAATTTATGTGACGCTTTTCGCTTCTTAAAATTCAAATTATGTGAACTTTTTATAAATATTTTATTATGTATTTTTCATCATATTGACATGAGAAGAGTTGTAACTTTAATATGTGAAAAATGCCACATGTTTATCCATAGTTAATTCTAGCTTCATTTACATAAAAGGAAATGAGTTGAACCTTTAGTTTCTATCAAGAAAAAAATATGAAAGGGTGAATCTGACCATTTTTAGGATAGTTAAGGGATGTTTTTGGTCACTATGGTAGTAGAGGGATGTTGTTTAAATTTAGAGTATATTTGAGGGATGTTTTTAGCCAAAAACTCTTATAGGTTCACTAC